AATACCAGTATATTGCAACACCACTACTGTATACTCATCTAACATTTATAATCACAGCATTTATAAACACAACTTTCTAGACTTTTCGGACTTTCATACAAAACATCGTAAAGTGGGCAGTGAAGAACTGCATGAAGCGCTGCACAGAGTGAAATTAAAACATGTTGTCAGTATCTCTCAGCATGAGAGAGTGAAGGCGACAGATAGGGACTAGAGGATGTATAATTGAACGTTTGGTGGGTCTCTCTTCTCTCCTGTCATCAGTCATTTCATCAGGAAAGCAGAACCTCCAAGCAAATTACTATAGGGATTACAAGTCTTGGCTACAGCTACGTTTGCATTTTTGAATAGTCCTCACTTAATATGCATGTCAGGGGACGCTGTGTTGATACAGTTTTTGTCAACTTGAAATGACAGACAACTTCATTTATTTTGATAGAAATAATTCTCGTTGATGTTTTTAAATGGATATTGCCAGTTCAGCTGGTTTGCAGAAAATCTTCCTGTACCAAGACAGAAATGGTGAATTCAGGTTTTGTGTTATCCTCACAGAACCATACGGGCTATATGTCAAGACTCATCTTTTAGCAGTGACTTTAAACAGTAATACAATAAGAAAATCAATTTGAAAAGGATATTTTTTCTCTTTTGAAAGTAGATTTAATAATGCTACACTGCAACTGATCCTCATGACACTGTGCATTCAGTGAAATAAACCAATGGCTGTCATTTTCTCTCAACTCATGACCATTTTAGAGAAGAAAAAACAGCCAAAGCCAACAAGATCATACCTGTTCTCAAAGGATTGTGAATCGGCATTCTGGGAAATATAGCGTGAAGTTGAAATGTAGGAGGCAGTTTGAGGGGAAGTGGGTTGGCCAACAAAAAACACAAAATACATTGCCATCATAACTTTTGAAACTTCTAAGTTAAACATCATGAACTGGTGATATAATACTGTGTGAGGGTATCAGAGGGAGGACTTTCTGGCACTTAGCAGCCAGACTGATGATCACATTATGTAAGTTGGCAATTCCTCCCGAGTCCCACAAGAGAGCATGCCTCTTACTGTTGGACCCGCTCACCCCTGTCAAGTCATTAGTTTCAGTTAGACAAAGAGAGGAACAAATCAGAAGTGGAGCTTTACAGCTAGACTGATGAAAGTGGCCTTGTGTCAGCCCTTTCAAATTGAATACAAATGTAGATAATTAAGTGTGCATGGAAATGTGTTATCTATTTTCCAATAATAATAAGATTTATAGCAGTACTGAAGATGCACTTGTGGATTTCAGTCTTTTCTCTGTCATTATAAGAAATCAATACGACACACTGACACCTCGTGACAATAGTTAGTCTAAAGATTGGCAAAGTTTTCCTTCCAAAGACATTGATCCCGACACTATCCTTGACGCTTCCATTAATCTTAATAGATGATTGCATCAACAACTTAAGATCTTAAATGAGATGAGGTTTTAATTGTAAAATGTTGATTCTGCACTCTTGATGTGCTATAAACAACAACCCCCAAGATGCTGTCAAGGCGGAGAGAATATAGATTTTCTTTCATTTGATCTGCAATAACAACATTCTGCAGCATTGACTCACTGGGCCAAAGCCAATTTATGTCCAGCATGAACTATCACGCAGGGAATATAATCAGCAAGGCCAAAACTTGTAACAAAAGTTAAGGGAACTCGGAAGTGAAACTTGGCAGAGTGGCTGTTAGGTTGGGAGATCCAAGGCCATGCCACTGTTTTTAATATGAGACTTATTTTAATAGCCTCTAAATCTATTTTGACATGTAGAGCACTCGCGGGTTGACTGGCGCTGTCCCTGATGCCAACCACAGGCTGATGAGAAAAAGGATGCCATAACTCCACAACACAGTCTGTCATAAGGCATCAATCTCGGATCAGGGCTTACATTTCAGGATCAAGGCTTTAAACAAATGTCACTTATATCGGTTCACGTGTTCATTTGGTGAAAATATAAATTGTCTCCCGTATTTAATCTATTCAGCACAGATCGCATATGTTCGAAGAAGTTTTACCTGATTTCTGTTTGTTCTGTCCACAACAGATTTACAAAAGGGACATTTCACAAATGAAGTATATGTATAAAAGCTTTGGTATTACTAGTTTCATCACTTACAAAAGGATATGTGTTTTCATATTGACTTTCAACTGTTACATCGCCAGTGGATGGAAATCTCATGTTGGAAGAAACTCACTTCACAAAGTGTTCAGCTCATGATTAATATTTCAGTTCTCTTGTGACTCTCTGACAGAGTGAAAAACTGCTTCAGAGAAAGGACAGCAAATGCCAGATGCCTACTAATTCATGATCTGTGCTTTCCGTCATATCAATAAGGGGCAGGAAATTCAATTTTATTAATCAATGGAATTTATTGAATCCTACAAATGTTCTTAGGAAATGTTTGCAATCACTCTTAAAAATTGAGGTTTGTGTGTGTTCTGTGTTTAATATCATGTTCGACATGTCGTGTGCAGAAGGTCAAAAATTATCCCGTTGGCAGTTTTGTCCATACGAACATATAATAAGACAGTTTGCTTTTTCCTCTCTTTGAGCCTTGAGAGGCTGAGAGACAAATCTTAATTGAGGGTACAGTAGGTGGTTGGAGATGAGGGCTTGCTGCAGTAGAGTCAATTCAGTAGTTTTAATCCACTCATCCACCCCGCCAGTGACACAGGGATTACAGCATGAGTCCTTAAAAGAGGAAACCAATTATTACAGCATATGGTAATACACTGCCCTTAATTCCATTACCCTCTCAGCACTTTTCAATTTTCTTTCATTAAGTGGATTAATAAGAAAGACGTGGTCTTCAAGTACATAAATGATTAAAAGCCTACAGGAAGATGAGAGGCAATCAATGTGGGGGGGGTGGCACATTTCTGCTTCATTAGTCTTGCGCGTTTGTAGGAATTCCTGTGTTGTGCATCAAATGTATTTTGTTCATCATGTGGCAGAGAAATGATCCATGTTGAGCCTGTACTGCTTAAAGGCTTGTTCATAACATTTCTTTCTTCCTTATATTAGTTAGTGTTGTTGTTTTTTTCTCACTGTTCTTGTGTCATGAGTTGCATTCATCTGTCTTTCAGCATACTAAACTATCTTGGAGCTTTTTCGGAGCGAGTAATTGTGAATTGCGAGTGGAATCTATTGCCAGCATTGCCTTCCTCAGGAATCAACATTTGACTGATGGTCACAAAGTTTTTGGGCTAGAAAATGTCCTTGACAACTGCTTTGTCTAGCAAATATATGAATATTTTTTTCAAATATTGTTGCCCTGAGACCCAAACTCAATCAAAGTTTATTTGTCAAATACGGAAGAGGCTTATAATGTGTCTGTTGAATAATGACAACGTTTCCCTCCATGCTTTTTCCACTGCATTATTTTTCCCATTTCTCTTTCTGTAAAATATTGTGTAACTCCAGGCTAGGAGCAGAGCCTAGTCTGTATTATTGAGTTCCTTTTCACACTGCACCGGTTAGCTAAAGTCAAACATGTTATTGTTAAGGAGGCCAGAGGTGTTTTTGTTTCAGCGCTAAGGCAGAAACAAAATCTAGTTTTAATAAGAGGCAAAGGACACCCGGATTGTAGTATTCACATATGCGACAGAAGTACGGTATTACGGTTTGGTCATTTTATATTTACCATAGTGTATTTGCCATATGTAATCATATGTATTTGTCTTTTAAAACATGTTGATTTGTACTTTTCCGTGCATCGAAGGTCAAACCCACATCTGTGACTGCTTCTCATTCCCTCCCTTCCTTATTTCTTCTCAGCAGAGGTCATCAGCCTATTATTTAGCCTATTATTTTACATTATCTTTCATCATCGGAGGATTGAACCACCTCTGCAGTATGAGTGATTGTTCTGCTCCTCTGCATCCTGATGAAAGGGACAATCTTTGTTCTTGCAAGGAGCCCACAGCTTGTCCTGTTAAATCATCTCCAACTCGCTGTCACTATTTCTTACCATTATACTCTGGTTTCCTCAAACTATGGATCTGAACTCAATAGGGTATTATGGTATGGTATGTAAAACACGCAGTAATCTAACCACATATCTTTGGGAATGCAACTGGTTATTCTTCTCCTAGATTTGGATGTGCTTTGCCTTCAGTCTCTGCTTACATTGTTAAGAAACAGTGGTCAGCACTGCACTTGTTCACTGTTAAACAGTAGTACAATGTATACAAATAATTGATTATATTTTTTTAAACATGCATAACACAGATTGAAAATTCCTGCATTTGGTGACTATCTTGTAATACTGTCATGTAATACAGCAAGTGATCAATAGACTGCCCATTTATTCAATTTTGACGGGGGACATTTGGGTTAGGTGAAAATATTAATTATAATCCAATTGCTAGTAAAGTTATGACACCAGGTGCCGACTGAAAAGTACTCAAAAGTACATAAATAACATTAATCTGTTTGCAACTCACATATATCATATATAATATATATATATATACATATCAATATTCCAATTACTGTATAGATAGACTATTCTGCACAGTTTCTATCATATTCTGTTTCTTTTATTCTATTTAATTTAGTTTACTTTGACTATTTTATCTGTTTTATTGGGTTGCACTGTTGGAGGAGCCTGTGACTTAAGATGTCCATTGTCATAACTACACTGTAGCTATGCACACATGACAATAAAAGCCTTGAAACTTGAAACCTTTAGTCCAGAGTGAGGCGTGTTGTAGGCCTACTCACCGGGTCTAGTCAGACTTAAAATTCACAAAGAACAAGAAGAGTCTTCCCGGACCTCAGGTTTACAGGGCTTTATTTATTTGAATAATACAGGGTTAATATCTGAAACATAGCATTTTATTTTCCTTAATTAAATAATTTCAGTCATGCCGTTCCACACTCCGGTACAGTAGGTGGCGGCATGCAACTTTAAACGTTGATGTGCAGTCCACCAAAAACACAAAATAAGAAGAAGAGGCTTCCTGTTGGCTGTTGTCATCCCGGAAGATTTACCTTTCTCCTGACACGTAGCAGCCTCAACAAGTTGGCAGGGCTCTGTGTAGAATTGTCAAAAAACAGAGGTACGTGTAAGCATTTGCATTGCTTTACAGTTTAATAATGATGTATACGAAAGGGTAGTTCAATTAAATATTTAAGGCTTCACTGACATTATCCACCAGCTATGCTTGCTAGTCCAAAACTGTTATTGCTAACACTAGCTTACCTACTAGCAGCAGAGTTAACGGTATGTTAGCCACCCAAAGTTATTGTTGTATTCCGACATGGTTGTACTAGTAGTTGTGATGGTTAAACCATGTTATATATATACAGTCTATGGTTAAACCATGTGATAATGTATACAGTTAATAATAAAACGAGTGGTTTCATCATAGACTAAAACATACACTTTTATCTTGGTTTTGAGCATGATGTTGACTACGTAAGCTAGCTACTTTAGATCACAGTGGTATTTAACTCATGGATTTTACGTTACCGCTATTCTAACTGTCCTATGCGTTTAGTAGTCAGCTTAATGTGTATAAATACAGTGTTTGAAACGTTATAAGAAACAACGTCTTGTGTCACCTAAGTCACCTAACCTAACATTAGTTACCGAAAGTAAAGCTAATAATTATGGAAAGCGTCCATATGTTTAACCATGTTACATGTTTCCTTTCTAAGTGCTATGTTGTCTTAGATAATATAACTCTTATATCGACACCATCGTTGTTTACCATCTCACTGTAGACCACAATATTTGACCTAGTTGATAAGCTGTGTTCCTTTTTTTCCCCTTGTGTTTGCAACAAAGTGAGAGATGTCGGGGTTTGACACTTTCAACACAGACTTTTATCAGTCCAGCTACAGTGTAGATGACCAAAACCAGGCAGCCCAGGGCTACAACAATGCTGAAACCCCATACAAGTAAGTGAAGAAAACCTCCATTACCTAATACTCCCTCAGCTGTTCACATCGCATCCAAAAGGGCAACTTGATAGTTGATGTTCCATTTCAGCTGCTAAAAGACTAACCTACCTAACGTGTTTGTTTTGCTGAATACCTTCTTTTACGTCTATTCAATGTATTTGTAAATGTGATAAAGTGTCTGTTAAAAAAAAGAAATACTACTGTCTAATTGAAATGACATCATCAGAAAGTAACCTTCAAGGCATTTCATGTTCTTGGAGTCAAAGAGAGTACTGTTGATCATTTTCATTCTGTTTTCCCCAGGCCATACGATGGTCAGTACGACTACTCCCAGCCCATGGGCTACGCTCCCCAGGGGGTGATGCAGCCCCAGCAGCCTTACACAGGACAAATCTTCCAGCCCACACAGACCTACACTCCATCCCCGTCACAATCCATGTATGGAAGCAGCTTTGATGATGAGCCGCCACTGCTAGAAGGTAGGCAAACCACAATGTCACTGTATGTTTTGTTAAATGTGCTAAAATTGATGTAGATATTAAGGTGTCATTCAACAGTTGCAGGCGGCAGCACAGTCTGAGAATCTAATAGCTGCAAGAGAGTTTTGACAGAGTAGGAAGTGCTGACAAATCCAAGGCTGGCTATCTGAACAAGTGACTTCAAATTAGCAGAACTGACTTTTCTAAAATGTTGTTGGTTTCTGTTTATAACGTTGTGTTGTGGATTTGAATGGTAGTTTCACTTCCTGCTTCTTACACTTTGGAAATGTATCTTATATTTATTTTATTTGTATTCTTTTTTCAGTCATTTATATAGAGCTGAAATCACAATGTTAACCTCCATTGCACTCGTGTGGTACACAAACGTTAAAATGTCGCTCATCGGTCAAATCCACACTCTTCATACTTCAATGAGAGTGACCTAGATAGATAAGATGAAGATAAACGCTTTCATCGGCCTGCAAAACGCTGACTGAAAGGTCTGAGCAGTCCTGAAAGAGAGACGTGTCTTTGGTTTTCACTGTTTGCTTGTGTTTAAAGCAAACCAGTGCGCCTTCTGTATGCAATTGCATCTCTTGTATTCTTTGGGTTGAAGAGCTAAGATTCAAAGGTTGTATTGTCCCTTGCACAATAGCAACAGTGTAGTTGTTTTGCACTGAACATCTTAGGTCCCAGGCCCCCGCTAACAGTGCAACACACAATACAACAAGACATAAAAGAAATAAGGGAGTTAAAAATTACATTAAATAAATAGTGCAAGTGGAACAATGGTGCAGCTTAAATGCAGGACTAGGTAAACTACCTACATATACAATTATTATTATTATGTCATCCTTTTTAGAAGCCCCTACATATCTCTTGAAAACGTATTTGTGTTCATTTGTTCCTACCTCCTATGTTTGATCATAGATCCAGTTTCCAAAATGCCTGATGTGTGTTTTCTCCGTCTTAGAATTAGGGATCAACTTTGACCATATCTGGCAGAAGACTCTGACGGTCCTCCATCCAATGAAGGTGGCAGACGGCAGCATCATGAATGAGACAGACCTGGCTGGCCCGATGGTCTTCTGTTTGGCTTTCGGAGCTACCCTCCTTCTGGTAAATCATGTAGTTAATGTTGGTGTTTCGAATCTGTAGAAGTATAATCAGGCACTGACATCCTGCACCTTTTGTTACAGCCTTGTATCTTTACACCTGTACAGCTGTCATCATGTCAGTGTGTGCATATCTATATCTGACTGTGTGAACTTGGTTTTCTTTCTGTTAACAGACGGGTAAGATCCAGTTTGGCTACGTGTACGGTATCAGTGCGATCGGCTGCCTCGGCATGTACTGCCTCCTGAACCTCATGAGTATGACGGGCGTCTCCTTCGGCTGTGTGGCCAGCGTGTTGGGCTACTGCCTCCTTCCCATGATCCTCCTCTCCACCTTCGGAGTCCTCCTCTCTTTACAGTGAGTACAGAGATAAACAACTCTTTAAAACCTGTAAAACAAGCAAAGGCTTTTATTTGTCTATAGACCGCACTGCTAGACATTATCTATTACTTGACACCTGGGGTGTAACAGTAAAAGGGAGTCTCTGTGTGGTAAAAAACAAATGCATAAGAATGCCATGTTTCAATTTTTTTTCAACAAAGAGTATGGCAGTGTGACAGAAAGTGTTCGAGAAAGACACAACTTAGGCATACTGTGTTCATAATAAAACATTTCTGTATTACATTATAGGTTTAACAAACACTTAAAAAGAAAAGGCAACCGTTCTCAAAAGACTCTCAATACAATAAAACAAATAAATAAAAAAATACTGGTAGAAAATTACTTTATCTCGTCTCGGCACTTCTGGGTTCTGCCATCAAATGTACAATAGCTTTTGGCTATGTTTCTATTCACACCTCTGTCCACAGCTCTCTCTTTGTTGCTGTTGTAGCTGACTTGCAACTGTAGGAGGGTCTTCCAGCTCTGATTATCGTTCACACTGACCAACGTGTGTGTGACTCCACACACCAAACAACTTGTGGTTTTAATCTCAACATATGTTGCTAACTACATATGTTTCCGGGTGGAAGTCTGCTGCATGCACCAGACTGAGACCTGGAATATCGCTCAATAAAGAAACCGTCACAGCCCTGAAGAAGTTTACATTTTTCAGTCGTTGTGTTAGTATTGTAGGACTTCCAAAAAAGCTCAGCTTAAGTAAGATATTGTGTAGTACTATGTCACCTATGCTGCATGGTTAATAATGGTGTCTTTGAATTTCATCAAAATAGCTACATTTAAAACAGTAAAAGGTAACTTCCTTTTTATTTCTTGTCCTCTTTAGGGGCATGCTGGGAATTATACTAACGGCAGCAATCATTGGCTGGTGCAGCCTCTCAGCATCAAAGATCTTCATCTCGGCGCTGGCCATGGACGGGCAGCAGCTGCTGGTTGCGTACCCGTGTGGTCTCCTATACGGGGTCTTTGCACTCATTTCTGTCTTCTAAAACCCATCAAATAACAGTTCCAAATAACCGCTCCGCGCTTTCTGTAATTTCAGTGTAATTAGTGTAATTATTGGCCAATTACACTGTTATTGTAGAAAAGTAGGAGCTCCTTTCTAAAACGGCACCAAGGTTTTTTTTTCTTTAGTAAGCCTCCACCTCTCACCACATTCCGACTTGACCATATGCAGGCTGGCGTATTGTCTCATTCATGTCTCCGGTCCACTTTGCTCCATCATACATCTTAAAGACTAGGACTGTGAAATAAACCTGGTGAAGAATTGAAAAAGAACTCTCCTATGGACCTTGTTAAGCCTTCAGTGGCTGTGCAGTCCGATGATTCTAAGGACATGAATGGGAAGAAAGTGAGCAATTATTTCACACAATGAAAACCCGAAGCGGACATTTTAATTTAGACAAACGATTTTCAAGGACTGATAACCGACTCTCAGCAACAATTTGGAGCCAGCGGGAAACTATTTTTGTAAAAGCTGTTGTGAGGTGTTTCTGTAAAACCCCCTTTTAGAATCTAACCCTGTGAGACAAGGGGAAACACAGACGTTCCTTCTGCACAAGACTACATACAACATGGGATATCTTCCTCTGTATCTTCTTCGCTCCATGACCAAGGATTCTATAATCTCATCATTCACTCATCAAAGCATCGGTCTGATCTTTGATGTTAAAACAGCAGCTCTGCTATATCTTCTAATGTATTGGTTTATTATATTAATTCAAATGTTGATGCTTTTAAAGAAAACACCAGTTGCAACAAAGGCATTATTCTAATTTCCAAGCAAACTGATTTGATTAGATATCGAGACAAATTTAATTCTGAGAATGTACATTTCTAGGACCAGACATCTATCATTTTGTATTTAGTCACTTCACTTTGTATGCTTTGATGTGTCATCTGTTGTTCATGTCTTCATATGCACATTAAAGTTGTCTTTGAAAGTTATCCGCCTTGTGATTTTAAAAGATGCCTTGTATGGTCAACTCATAATTTAAGCGGTATAACCTTTTATAACTTGAAGCTAGTGGCTGTGTGGCAGGAGAATGGCAGGTGCTTACTTGAAGCCGTGGGCGTATGACACATAATAACAGTTTTCAACAACCTGGGGAGAGTTTGTCACAGAAGGCTGCTCGATCAAAGGAACACATCAGCACATTTTGATCCACTTAATTCATAAATGTTCTTGCTTCTTAGGTCTGCAATCTTTTCAAGGTATTAAACCAGGTTAGTCATAACATGAAAGTGAGTACAGACAATTCTCTATGAACATGTTGACTCACCTCTTCTGCTTCATCCCTAAGAATATTTCCACTTTCATAGTCATTGTGTTCAAGTACCCTTAAAATCCCCCTCCCCCCCTCACCTGTTTAGGATATGGATTATTAGAAGTGATTTTCTAAAATGTTCGGCTCAGCTATCAGTGGCTATCGTCATGGTTTTGTTCAGTTTCATCACCTTGCAGTAGTTGTTTACAAGTGGAGCATGATTTTTAAGTAAAACCCTCCTTTACACCCGGTCAAGCTACAGGAAGTACACAAGGGAACATAAACAAGGAACAAGTCAATGGAAGGATTTGTCCATAATGGTGTAGTTTTTATTAAACACCACTTTATGTTATTGTGGTCAATTAAATGTGAGGTTGTTGCCTATTGATCAAACTACTAAAAAAAGGCTTCTGCAGAGATTATTGGTAAAAGTGTGTCTTATATTTTTTATTTGACAAGTAAGACTACATGGCCTGAAGATCACTTAGAAGATCAGGCAGTCTAAAACTCTAAGCTGGTGTGTGGAGGAGTTTGGATAGCTTGCAGGAAAAGCAGCACATGACTTTGACTTGACTTTAAGGCTTTAGAATGCAGGCTCTCACATAATGTAAACAGAAGGTTGACAAGAATAAATATTGATGGTTATTGTTGGAACAGTCCTCTCTTTTTTTTTCTTCCTCCTTCTGGGTTTTCCTTGAACTAACATACACAAAACCTATACACAAAGGGGGCTACTTAAATGGACAATAACACACTTAGGAGGAATGAATAATTCAAAAATGAAAATGAAGTGCTTTCTCTATTCCAGAAAACTCAACATCGAGGATATGCTTTGCATTTCAAGCAAATCTAACGGGAGCAGTCTGCTCTCACAAGCGGCTATCTCAGATGGCAAGTGTTTACATATGCATCTACTGAATGTATAATCTGTCTTGTAAGACCATTTAAAAGGGCGGTAAAATCAGTGTGGAATTTAGTAATTCTATGTACAAAAAAAAATGTTCATTGTCCCACCTAAATGTGGATTTGGTATTCCTCTACAAAGAATATTCCTTGTCTTCCAACTTGTTCTGCAACTTCTGCTCACACTGGAGAGTGTTTTCAAGCTTTCAATTGTTCATTTGTTCTGTGTCTTTTCAACGCGGAGTATCTCAGGAAAAAACTTCAGATGTTTTGGGTACGATAGAAGGGAGCAGGATGTTGACATTCACGCATTTTTGTGTATGTATGGTATCCGGTTTCAGCCAGTTTGCAGTTGAGTTTCAATATCTTGCATCTGGATTCACTCAGCAGTATCTCACATTTTCCCTTATGGGCCTGGAGAAGGAATTTATTCCAAAATTCCATATTTGCTTTTATATAATCCTTATTTAATCCGCTTCACCAGCTGATTGTTGTTACTTCCTGAAGGGAACATCTAGGATGTGTTTATACTTTGTGAAGTATATATTCAAGTAATCAGAATCAGAAATCCTTTATTAGTCCCACAGCGGGTAAATGTACGAGTCTGTGCGGCCCCAGTAGAGAACGGTGCCTTGCTCAGGGGCACCTCGGTAGTTACTTGGTCGTCCCAGGACTCGAACCGGTAACCTTCCGGATCCCAGGACAAGACCCAACGGACTGAGCCACCTCCACCCAATAAATTATGTGTGATTCGTTCCTTGTACAGTATATAAAATAGTTTAAAGCAAGGGAATTATTTCATTTAAATGTGTAAATCATAATACACTCAAATTGTGATAAGCATTTATTTTTTCAGAGACTGTTGTTTGTGTTGATTTTTATTTATATATTTTTTTTGAGACATTGTTTTTAATATTAGCTGACAGCATTAAAAACGCCCACCTTTTGGGTAATCAATCTGTTGTGTTGGCAGGTTTTTACATTATTGTTTAGGATCGGCTTCTCAAAATTATTCTCCACTAATATACGGTAGATACGCTGACTTGACCCAAGCACAATTGACGGATATAAAAAAATGGTGTATTGCTACATCTTTGAACAAACATGCAATAAATAGGCGATACGAAAAAATCGCGTAAAAAGTGTCATTAGAGAACTTTAATTACTTGTGTTTGCACTCGTTGCTCAATTTTTGATGAGCTATTTTAGAGTTGTATCATTCCATTAGGCCAATGTTGTTTCATAAGTTGCTGCATACATTGCTTTGAGCCAGGCTCTAACAGCAGTAGCACTTCCTATCCACAATATATGGGCAATATTACCGCTTGTCACATATCCTTCCATAACAGGTGTACAGTCAAACACATAGTAGATGCTCTTCAATAAGCTTGAAGCGTGTGGATTATTTACTGAACTAAGGAAACCATGATGGGAGCCAGATGGCTGTTGAAATGGCAAATTGAGCACCAAGAGAGAGGAGCTGTGTCTTCTTGTTTTTCGTCACCTCCTGATGTACACCCAAGCGCCTCCAGGTGACAGTGTTGAGTTACATACAGTCTCTCTTGGCTGACTGAATATTGTTTATAGCTGTGTTCATTGGCTACAGTCTCACATTTACCCTGGAGGAATGACTACATCCCCACGTCTTTTGGGAACTTCCTCACAGTTATTTTCAGGAAATGTACAGCTCTCTATGGATCAGATCTATGAAAAACTCCAGTCTACCCAAAGCAGCCCATGATTCTTTAAAGTGTTTTACGTCTACATATCTGTTTGGTTAGGTTTTTATTTCATTGCTTAGTTTGTAGATTAAGCTAATTTAATAATAACATAGAATGACATTTAGTGGAACCATTGTCAAGTATCCTGAATACACACACTATGGCTAGCCTGGCCCCAATCAGTCCCTGATGTTGTCGATGTAAACACAGATTATTGGCAACATGAAACCGTTATTTTAACTGAGTTATGGAAACAAGATTTAAATTAGATTAATAGAGGAAAAAAAAACAATATTGCTTAATAGTTTAACATGCTTTTTTCAGTTTTATCATAAATCCTGGTGAAAAAGTTGTATTGATATTAGTAATCAGAAATTGTGTTTAACATCGTCACTACCGGCTGTTTTAGGAATATCTGCCAAGTTGACTTTTCTTCTTGTCTCCGGGGAATATGGGCCCCCATACCATTATGTTATCTAATGGAGGATAATCTCGCCTCCATCTGGCTGGCCTGAGCCACAGTCTGTTCTGCCCAGCAAGCTGGACGACTGACTGGAGAGCAGCAGCTAATGATGAGAGCTTATCCTGCTCGGCTGGAAGAAAGGCATGGAGAGACACAAGCTGTAGGGATGAAGGTGGAGAGAAGGGGAATACACAGAAGTTTAACAATATACTAAAAGATGAACAACGCAATCTAAATGTATAGCTGCAAAACAGCATGACATGAGATTTGCACAAATCTGCCCACAAAAAAGGTTATGATACTGCATTAGAAATCCAATTTCATAACGTCAATATGATTGTATCACAATATAAATTGATGCCTAATGCATTTGGAGAGCATGGAAAATGACTGCTACTGGTATGTAATTACAATTGGAAGCTGTATGATTATTATTTTAAAACATGTATTTTGAATGTGAGCTCATATCGTAGTCATGAGGTTAACATAATATAAAGCGACATCAATATCTTCTTTAAGACAATATACAATAAAATGCATTTACTTTTACTGTGACATGAAATTATGGTACAGTATGACCAACAGAGATTTCTTTCCAGTTTTGCTTTACCATCTTACTTCCCTTTTAATTAACAAGATTATCTGATATTTAGCTACAAAAAATATATATATAATCAAGTGCATGCATACAAGACTACTGCTGAGGGCATAACTATTTTAAAGCTGCACAAACAATATTTGTTCAAGCTAATTTATTTTTCGTGTTTTTAAGCTTGTTCATCTCCCTCCAAGAAGTCAAGAATAATATCAATGCTTTACTGCAATATGTTTGTGTCCAAAAAAACAAACACTTGAATGTTCAAAAAGAAATTCACAAAACTTCACATTTTTGCTAAATGATTTCTCAGCATTTATGCATTTACTCAAATTCCACTATAATATGTGTCACTTTGATAACACCTAGTTACAATTTCATAAGTTTGTATGACGTTTGTTTCGTTAAATGATTTACTCAGAACCATTTTATTATTTTGTATAAGTCAAGTCAGGGTTTCTGTTATGAAATGGTGGACAGAAGCTAATGTAGCTGGATAGCATAATCAAAGTGGCCTGTGTACGTGATGCGCTCCAAAAAGCCTCAAAGCAATGAGGCTGATTATGATGTTATCTCCACTGAGGGAGCAGACGAGCGACAGGTGGAAATGTAACGATTGGTATTCAGCAACGCAGCGCCGCCTTTTAATGCATTTCCAAAGCCAACAGCACATGAATATTCACAGAGCAACTGTTAGCACAGCACTGAGTGTGATTTGCTCCTGCACTTCATTAAGCTAATTGTCCCCGCTCGTTGCACTGCGGCCTCTTCCAACAGTTGATTCAGAACTCAGTGAACCAACACAAACACTGCAAGAGTCCAGCTGAGGGAACCTGTGTTTGTGTGTGTTAGTGTGTACATGAATGCATGCATGCTCATGTGTATTCATGAACAGGTGAGTATGTACTGCTGTACAAGCATTACATTTGACGTGTGCACTTCTGTGTACATACAGTATGTTTGTGTGTCTTGGGAGGGATGCTCATCATAATAAGGCT